GAACTGTTTATAACATTGGTTTCATCTGACTGGAATGAACCCGCCTTGTTTTTTGTAACGTATCTTTAACAATGAAACTTTGTTGACCTACTTGTCGGATAATGGTAAATGGCCCAATAAATTGCTCAGCAAATTGTGATAGATTGGACATTGGATTTTGAACAAAAACTAACTGACTTAGAGTAAATGAATTATTAGGTCGATTTTTATCATATCTTTGTTTCATGTTTCGCTGGTATTGCTGGATGTTCTGACGCGCCATTATGTGTAATATTTTGATTTGACGATGGAAATGTTCAAGATAATCATTTGGTTTCTTCAGGACAAACTCATGTTTGCTTGGCTCATAAGGCATTGTTGGTTTCCTGCCAAACATCATTTGGAATGGGCTGATTCCGGTTGTCGAATGTTGGCTGTTGTTATAGGCATAAATGACTGACGATAACCAGTTGTCCCAATCATTTTCATGTTGTTCTTGTAATATGGACAATTTTGGCTTCATTGTTAAACCTTTCCACTTGCCCATTTGTTTGTGGATGGTACGGAGTTGCCAGGATTCGGTTACATCCCATTAATTTCGCCACATGTTGAAATATTTCTGCCACGAAATGTGAACCATTATCGGTCAAAATTTGATTAGGGATGCCGAACTTGTATGAAACATCATGTACCAGGAATTGCGCGGCTGTCTTTGCTATGCAGTCAGGTGTTGCTTTGGCAATGACGTATTTGGACAGGTAATCCGTGGCCACAATAATGTATCGATTGCCGTTTTCTGTCATTTGAGTTGGACCACAGAAGTCAAGGCCAATCATCTCCATTACACCTTCAGGAGCTTTAATAGGTTGTAAGTGACCAGGTTGTTTCGATCGTCTAATGTTAAATCTTGCACATTGGTCACACGATTTGATGTAATTTTGAATGCTGTTGTACATTTTCGGCCAGTACCATATATTTTTCAAATTGTTCCATGTTTTGTCTCGACCAAAATGACCTGCTGTGGGGTGATCGTGCGCATGGTACAATAATTGGTGTACCATCGCTGCTGGTACATATGGCACTTGAATGTCTTGACCATTTCTTGTAAGACATTTGTATAAAACACCGTCTTTAAGTAATGAATCGCTGTTGGGTTCCAGACTAACTTTGTGGATCTTTTGTTGAATGTATGCGTCGTGTTGTTGGCCCGCTTTAATTTTGTGTTGTTCAAAGGGGAATATTTGTGCAATGGGTGGCAAATTACCCTGGTCGTTTGTAGCTGATGATGCCTGTGGTAATTCATTACGGGTGCGTGTCACAGCTGCTGGTGTTGTTAATAGTTTATTATCGACTAATTGTTTCATTGATCGTGTAATTGCACCACAACAGCCACCAAATTGAACATTTTGCTCAAGACATGTTCTTGTTGTAGTCTGAGTATCAACATTGTTTGTGTCAATGGGATATCTCGACAGTAAATCTGCATCGCAATTACATTTACCTCGTTTATGTTTGATGGCAATAATGTTGAACTCAGATAATTTGATTGACCATCGGTCTATTCGGCCATTTGCCGATTTCTTTCTGTGAAAATCACATAATGGACAATGATCAGTTTCAATGATGAAATCTCGTCCATCAAGATAGTGATGAA